AAGCTAGCCATGCGGTGGAATATGTGCCGACTGCGGTTGGAAACTGTCTACAAAATTTACACCAAAGCAATGAAACATACGTGCTTCCGGATGGCTTGCCGTGCGAGGAACTAGCACAGCATTATATCGCAGCCAAATACAGCTTTGGCAGCCCGCATCTGTGAAGTCATTTTGTCCATGACGAACGTTTTGACTGCATGTTGTCCAACCATCATATCCTTGAACAAGCTGAACAGCTTGCGCAATGGCGCAAAATGCTCGCATTCGACAAAGGTATACATTACGAGTCGACCGATCCCTATGCCAACTGTCACAAGGAATGTATAAAGCTTGTAACTTAACAGCGAACGTCAGTGGCTCGAAAGTTATTTACTCGAGACGGTTAGTACCGTGTGTAGCGCCACCCTCCGATTCCACCAGCAGCACGCGACCGCACACTCGAAACTTCGCAATGATGGACGACATGTCATCTAAGAAACCAACTAAGAAGTAACCAACTACCTACTTAATAATCGGGGTCGACACTTGACGCGATACTTACGCACATCCTTGATAGTGAGTACCTTTCCAAAGTGGTCGGCGTCGTACTGCCGAATCTCCGATGACGGAGCACTGTATTTCAAAAGGGTACTACACTCCTCGAATTCATCATTTGTCAGTCGCCGGTTGATGGGGAGCCTGTCAACAATAAACTTGCTGCGTGGATGGTTGTGCTCCAGGTAGTAGGAAGTAACCCTCAAGCAGTCATGTTACCGGCGAACGTGGAACCTTGCCGGACAATCAGTACGACGTGTGCTACAACGTACACACAATCAACCATGAACTTACTAGGTGCGACGAATTTCACGGCTTCTGCCTCGTTTGAACGGATGTCTGCTGCAACGGTAGAAGGCTTTTTCATACAAAAGTAGCGAATTGCCGTTCTTTTTGGAGTTTATACGGACAAAAACGACGTACTCAGCCATAGTAACCATTTAAAATATGAACATCGCTGGTCTTGATTATCGTGGGGATTGAGTACATTTAAACAATTTTCAACAAAACTGCGGCCCCTTGGGAAGATCTCATACGACCGAAAAGTTACCATCAAATAACAAATTTTTATGTTAAAGTTTTCCTCCTTCGAACCACGGTTTCAGAGAAATTTTGGGTGTGCCTCTAGCCGCCGGCGACATAGACCACGAAGTCACACTTTAGCATATTTGGACGTTCTTCGGTGTTCTTTAGGAATGGGATGCATCTGAAGAATATAATTATGCAAATTTCACCGAAGGAGACCGGCTGTTGACGTTTGTTTGCTGTACACACATCAGATTTAATAAATGCTGTTATAATCGCAAGATATATTTTGTTCGACGAACCTTGGTCACAACACTTGTTCTCATGAATCCCAAATTCTATTAGGTGCAACATTTTTAGACAACAACACGAACTGTGTAGTAGCGATGCGGGGGCCGTCTCCTTAGATGATCTCCTTTTCCAGATAAGCATAACTAATACAGCGTCACGAGGCAGCTCCAAGTATCGATCCTTTTATGAACATGATGCTCTGTAAGTTGTGACCGCCATAAAGCGGTCGCCATGATAGCGGTAGCCTTCGTAACTCACCTCGACTATTTATCGTAACTGCTGGGTCAGTGTGTGAGGTTTTTTTACTTTTATTTTACTTCCATTATAACACCACATATTTCATCAATTGCATAATCGTTTTTTGTTTGAATACGAAACACTACAAAAACGCGCACTTGTACAATTTCACATAATACAAGCGTGGTGACGTGCTTCGACTCTCTCTTCTGATTTCGCTCGCGTGTGCAGCGGTCATTCGTGAGTCTCATGTACTAAATCTGGTATCAAAACATTTCAGACCATCTTCGGAATCTAGTATATGTGGGAACTGTTCAGAAGAAGACCACTGGGACAAGATAATTGGATTATTGTTTATTCGCTGACCCTGGTCATCGACGAACTGTTTTAAAGAGAACAATTGTTAGTGAGCCTATTCCATCTGACTTCTTTATAATTGTATACCCAACCTAGCGTTATTATTTTCATTTATTTTCCAAACACTTGTGGTAAACTAACTTATTGAGTAGCCAGATCACTACACGTGTCTACGTACGACGCTGATTATGGGACTCCACATATGCACGGCACCCTAATCTAATGAACGACGGTCCCTTATACTCATAACTCTACGCGTTGTCACTCATCTCGAATACTTATTTTAGCTGTTAGGCTCGCGTCTGTGTGCAACGCTGATTTTGGGATCTCACCTTCGCACAGCGGCATAACCCAATGGCCAAAGGTAGTCTTTCGTGCGCATAACTATACGTGCCGCCGCTTACCATGCTACCCATAGTAAGCATCACGCAACTATCCATGCGGGTCGGTAAAAATTAGGCCTCAGCTGTGCCTAATCTGACGACCTGGCTGTACTCAACGTCACCCTACCCGGCATCTTATCGTGCCTGCTAGTTCCGTGACCATGTGTAATGTTGATTAACCGGTAACTCAATTCAACCTAATCTGTTGTACTCGTAAATGTAGACGTCGTCGCTTATCTTTGCTACTTATAATGAACACGGGCCGGTATCTGTGCGAACCCATGAATAGAGGTTTAAACTATGCACACATACCTAATCTAATGGCGAACGACGGGCCTCACGCTCAAAACTGTACCCAATATCGCCTTCCTTGACTGATTTTTGAAACTTCCAAGCCAGTGCCTACATGCGACGCTGATTATTAGGCAGCAACTGTGCGCAGCATTCTGCCTTAACTGCCGACGATTGTACGTCATACGCATAAACATGTGTGCTCTCGCCTATGTCTGAGCTACTTCTGATTGTAGCTACCCCCTCGCCACGTATATGACTCTACGGGTCACCGGCACTCGCTAGATCACGAGATCCGTCTTTTTTACACTCAGAATCGTGACCAACTTGACTACACAGCTCACAGTCAAGCCCTTGATCCCAAGACTCGTCCTTCTTTCCCTCCACGTACAAATCAAGGTGACTCATCTGACATCGACTGTCTACCGTCCGATAAGGTGGCGACAAGTTATGTGCTGACACCCGCACACACGCAAGCGTTCCTACATATGGGATAACAGCACGGCAACAAAACACAACTCAACAGCGTTCGCAAGTCGCCCAACTCGGAGCGGAGCCGCTCAGGGCTTTACGGCGCTTCAGTCACGGATATTCAGGCACCCGTGCGGCTGCTACAACAGCGAAGAAGACACAAAACCTGCATCCGGACTTACAACAGGATTTGTCAACCTGTACCTGCAACACGATAAGTCCCTTTTTCGCATATACGTACCTGTTGTAATAATTTTACTCAACAAGCAGACATTGTTAGTGCTCTCCGTTTTCTCGTTCATACAACTACTTTTCGGGTTCTAGTAGAGCATTGCCATGATCTCATGTCTCTGGAAGTTCCAAGCTACCTTAGTTGCGCATAATCTAGCTAATACACTTCCCTCATACACAGTTATGCCCCCGCCAGTCCGCATCGACCGCATACCTATTATCTGCACGTAAATAGCGATTACCGTTTTTGAAATTGGGCAGGTTTGACTCGTTGAAGTAGTCAGAAATGGCGATAAATGTTGACTGTCTGTTATTTCTGAGGGCATTCTAATTCACATCAAAGCGCTTTTCAACAAATCTTTCGGACGTTTTTTCCTGTTTTGAGTCACAAATGTAGACATGGCTGCCCTATTACCTCGTTTGGATGGCAGCAATGAACCACCATGAATCCTCGATAGACCCAAGAATATCCTAACTCCCATGACTACCATGAACGGCTCATCCAAGATGTTAATGTGAAGGTGCTGTCCACGAACCGAAGTACGGCGTTGTGATGACGGTACCGCGACTACCATACCCAGTCTGATGGCTTATCCGTATTTCGCCATATCTCTAATATTTCCCAGACAATCGTGTTACCCAGAATACCGTTTCAGTTTGTTTACTTTGTGCAAGGACTTCAAAGCAGTGGCCATTTTACTGTGCCGTCTGCTTGTTCTGCACGCAAACCCAGTAGCTCAGCCAACGGTACTATTGGTGGCTCGGCACGTCGGTGATGATCGAAACTTGCCTCAAGCCTGACATAACGTGTGCTGACCATCGTAAAAAACAAAAAACTTACTAGCTGTGACGAGTTCCTGGGCTTCAGCGGGACGCCTGCCGAAGGCATAGAATTTTTCATCCTGGTTGCGAATGTCCATTCCAATTTGAGTTTGCGCGGACGTAATGTGCGTGATTAATGTCTAAGTCGTTTTGAGGTTATTTTCAAATCTAATACGCTAGAGAACACGCGAATAAACCAACTTTCCACAAAATTTTCCACCGTTTTCCTTGAGACGATGAGCGAAGTCACCGGAAGCCACTAAAGTACGAATTTCGCGGCACAATGTACTGCGAGCGCGTGTAAACAACTCCCAAAAAATGCGACCACCTGGGGAGATATTAGGTGACCGAATAATAACCATCAAATGCTAAAATTTTGTTAGAGGTTCCTTTCTTCGGACCACGGTTTCAGCTAAATTTTGGGTGCGCTTCCAGGGCGCGGCCCTGTGAGGAATGGACTGGTCCCAAATTCAAAACGCGCTCCGAAAACAGTGAACCATTAGCAGTTCAAAGGATCTCCTACAAAATCTTGGGCAGATCATGAAATTTTCCGGTGGGACACGTGTACAGAAATACTTCAGTTGTAACCTAAGGCCTTCCTTCGATCTACTGGGGCTTTGTAGAAAATTGCGTATCGGAGGAGGAACGGTTCTGGTGACTTGGTTTATGGACTCACAAACGAAAACGGTTCCGCAATGGCTAAAATAATTCACACCTTGAGCATCGTTGAGAGCGGGTTGCTGGTGTGGTATAGAAGGGTTCCAAAGATTTACAAAACAGCAGAATTTATGCTGAACCAACTGAATATCTCATCGGCGTCGAGTCAGCGAGTTTTGTTTTATTGCACTCTGAAGATTTATGCAGATGGCTGCTCGAAGTGCCTCCCGCGGTATGTTGCTATCCCTTGCTTAGCATTTCGCACCAGAACGAGGCAGGAAGCTGTACATCGGTGGACTGCCCCAGGATGTCGTTAAGGACGATCTTTTGCACGAATTAACGAAGTATGGAGAGGTGGTAGACGTGTGGATTGCTCGTAATCCACCTGGGTTTGCTTTCGTTGAGTATGTGACAGCCGGGGATGCCGAAAAGGCTGTCAGAGCCCTTGACGGTGTGAATCTTTGTGGATCTCACGTTCGAGTTGAGTTTGCACGTGCTGGGCGTTCAAAGAAACGTAAGTGCTTTTAGATATTTTTGTCCCATAATTTACATCCGTGCGCTCTAAAACCCATTGAAGCCGTTTGAAACTGCATCGGTGAGTGATTTGCCAAACTGGGCGTGAACATCAGCCGCGTTGCGTTGTATTATTGAGCGCTCAGTCGAATGATCCCGAACTGGAGCTGTCACATTGTTTTGTCCTTTACGGTTAAGTCTGTCCGCTTCTAGTTGTGCACCTGGTTTACGCAATCATCCAGTCAATAGCAGAAACGTACTTACCTGCTGGTTCAGTCAATCCCTAATCGATCGCGGTGCGGGACACTACATTCACAAAACCGTTAGCCTGCAGAGAGCCCAATTTCCATCGCTTGAGCGATGAAGCCACTTGGACCTCTTCAGTACTGAAAACGCTCGTATCTGGAGAATAATTCCATGCTCCTCTTGTTGACAGCGACTAGTCAGTACAAGCAGTCTTTCGACGGGATTTCCGCAGGTCAAATTGAACGGTCATCCCACCTTACCTGTCTTCCATTACAAAGATCCTCGACGAGACCTTTTCGGGACTCTCAGTATCCATGCTAAATGGACTGAGACCACAGGCGTTAGTGGCAGTGTTAGTGACTTTGATTGACTACCCTGCAGAAAGTGCTTAGTTCTGCATCGCGTTCTTAAGTTGGGGAACGAGAATACTGGCATACCCAACGGGAAAGTTCGGCACCGGTGTCGGGTAAGCAGACGTCAACCAAATTCGCTTCAGCCTCCCTCTGCCTAAGTCCCTCTAATTCACTATTCAACCGTCCTTATCATTGGTGTGGGCCCTGGAGTAGTTGTTCGAAGCCGAGAAATTCGGATTGTAAAGGAGGTGTGATAGATGTAACTTTTCGCCTCAACGACTCGAGGTGTTCGTGCTCCATTCCGGTCTGCATTCAAAACAACATTGAGTGGTTAGATTTAGTGTTGGAAAATCCACGGATGCACTGTTGCTCAGATCTGGCGGAGATTGACCCTGTTTTTGCAGACTAGTTATGGACCACATACTTTCTTATTTTCACTGTTGTTACTAACGCTTATGAGCATGTTGAGCCCCTAATATTTATATTTTCTTCCAATAAATCTAGGGGACCCTTTGAATAAGTGCCTAGCTTTGTCAACCCTCCGTATTAAAATTTATCCTGAGAGAAAATCACAAAAAACGCAAAGACAGCTGTGCAGTGATGGCTGAGTACCTTTAGACAGCATCTGTGCGCCATATATACACAAGCCAAAACTGCTTAAAATCTCTAAAAAGTTCAACCAACGCATATACGGCCGACCAACAGCGAAGCGTTTGCCAGCTCTAAAGAGCTGCCAGAAAGCCGATCATTGGCCTGGACGGCGACACAGCTCTCGCACCTTGCACTGGTCTTGTTTGCTTCTTGGTTCCTCGCTGAGTCGCTGTCTTGACAACGCGTCCGACTTTCGTAGTAGCTGGTCCTGGATTATCTCGGAATATCCTCGTTTCTGAACCAAGTCGGCACTCCATAGAGCGATCATCCCGAATACAAATTTGTGAGGTATCTGGGTGCTAAAATCAATGTATGCGTCCATTCCTCGGTACGCACCCACTGAGTTGCAGTACATAGCACTATATCGTCTACGGTCGAGAATGCTAATCTTTTTGAACGCGGAATCGGCCGGACTGTCCCAAAGACGTAGAAGTCAATTGCTCTGAGGTGTGAATAGAATTACGGTTTTTCTAATTCCCTTCGGCATTTGACTCTCGGGGACTCCTCACTTGAACTCAGTTACCACATTTCGCCGTCAGATTACCCGTTTTATCTGGAGCACTTCTCGACCGTCAGGGGCGTTTGTCACTGTTGGGACTCTCCACACCATCTGATTCAGATGGCCTCCTTTTCTTGTTCCTGATTTGTGCCCCGAAACTTCTCCGGTAGTCCCAACGATTCTCTAGCTGTCCTTACCAACCTGCAGTTTTCCAACTTCTTGAAGGCGTATCTTTTCTACTTTCAGTCACGACTATCAACCTAAACGCAACAGCCACGGACCTGTCTCCACTAACATGAACCGCATATCTTTGTGGACGGACACTGCGTTGCACTACTCTTGACAATTTGATCATCTTACGACCTTCCGCACGCTATCGCTGCCTCAGATACTAAAATTACCATCACCCGACACTTGGATTTGTTGAGTCCAGTCCCTCCATATGTTCACTCGCTTTCGTCATCCTGTTAGAAGTCAGCCTTCTCATCGACCTCGCTGCCCTTGCGTATTGCTCCTTCATCCTCTTTGTTGCGGTACTCAAACAACGTATCCTGAACACCACACATGAGCTGGGCCTTCCGTTTCGGGTCCGGTAATATTTGCTGCAGCCCGAATTCGCTTTGTTTTGCTTTCAAAGGGACCTTTTTGGCTCACGCCCCCGTCGTCCAACTGAATGTCAAGTACGACTTATTTGGCATTAGATGCAAACGCCGTTGGAATACAGCTTCTCTTATTTCAGCGTTGCTGCGGCAGGGGGTGGTCGTCGCAACTGGTCCCTTCTGTCCTTGTCCCTAACTGATCCCGGGATCAGTCTGCGCTCATCCAGCCAACTCTATAGCGTTTGCAACGCATATAAAACAGAACTCTTCCCCAGGGGACCCTTCTTTGGACCCCCTAATCAACAACCCATAGTAGTAGAAAGGTGGGTTCAGCGATCAATCCGCTGAACTTGTCGTTTTTATCGTCTCCGTGGGAGTGTCCGACGGTGGGTTCAATTCCTGGTAAGAACTGAGAGTTCTAGTTGGTGAGGCCCCTACTTCCTGCAGAAAAACACAGTTGTATGGTACTTCGAGGCGAGATGGCTCAGTGGTTAGAGGGCGAATTTACTGGACGGAAGGTCCGTAGCTCGAACCCGACCTCTGCGCCTTGGCTTTCTTTGTATAAGCTTGGGTAACCTGGCAGTATCCAATCCCTCGTGCTTCGTGGCATGACAGGGTGATATAGCTGAATGTTTTTCAAGGTGCTTTTTGTCTTGCGTCGCCCGGCATCACAATATAGATTTCGTCTTTCGATTAGTCCGTCCCACGACCAGCTGGGCAGCAGTGTAATTAACTCATTTAAACGGGATGTAGCGCCACTCATCTTTCACTTGCGGAATTCGCGTCGTGTTTTTATTGGCTTCTCATCCCCATCGCCAGAGCTTCACCGCCATATAACCGCGAGGTTTGTTTAATTGTAGTGGGGTACTAACATGTGGACGGATCCTAATGCCTGCCTATCAGAAGCATTCCGAGGTACATGCACTTCCTAATGCTCAATCAGATAGTCTGGAAACGGACTGTACACCGGTGATAGCGGTTAAACACCAGTTCTTGCAGCGTGCCCAACAAAGCACACGAGGGGTTACGGGAATCCACTTTGGGACCTTCGTTCGCCGTGTGAATTATTTTGTGCTACTTGTTTACTAACAATATGAAGAGGTTCTGTCGACGTCTGTATAACCGCTCATTGTGTTGGCGGTCGTTTCGCTGAACCATACTGGCCTTCAGATTAATTTTCTGTCGCTGAGATCAGTATCCAGAGGATCTTTTTGTATTGGTCCACAAAACTACTCAAGTTTCCATGTTTGATAGATTCCCGTTGGCGCTTTCGTTCTTTCTTGAAATTAGTTGACGCACTGCACCAAAAGTCCTATACACCATCTGCTTGTAGCTGTTTTCCAGCGCTATGTACTGTTACTTCCTAGATAATCACTGCCCATTCTCTTAGCGTTAGGTCCAAGTGCCCGTGGTTCTCGCTCTCTTGGTCGAGGTCCCCCGAGACGCTACGAATCTCCGCGACGTAGTGGAAGATATTCACCTCCATTCGAGGGATCACGCTACTCGTACGACCAACTCGCGCCGTTCTATCCCGATGTCGCCACTGCAGCAGCAGCCGCAGCTGCCGCCGCAGGTTTTCCGTACGGTATGCCTGGCTACGCACCTATGTTGCCATTTTTACCACCTGAAGAATTGCTCCGCAGTTTACAACCACCTCGCCGTTCTCTCGGCCGCACACCGCCTTCGGTCTATCCTCGTGGTCGTTCGCCTGGACTTCGTCGAAGGTAATAGAGCTACTTGCAGTGTTTCAACTTTTTAACGTGGGCTGTCACCATTCGCTGTCGCCAAATTTTAAACAGGATCCCCGTCTAAGACGCTCGCCAATGTACACTACGTCCCACAGCGACCGTAGTATTCATGGGACATGTTATACGCAACATCAACTCTTCGCTTCCTCTGTAACGGGCGACTTTACTTTGTTTGGATGAACATCCACTGATCCATATTCTCACAACTTGTTGCACATGCCTTCCGCAACTTTTTGGCGATATTATCTATTTCAACCTTCTGCGCGATGAAGCCACATACTCCTAAAGATCATCCACTCAGCGGTTCTTCGTGTGTCAAACTTCTAACCTCAGGACTTCTGCATATCGACTGACGATTTCCCCAACTAGAGTTTTTGGGGTTCCCCTAAACTCCGAAGGGATCGATGTAGCCACCTACTCTTTCATCTCCTTAGTCGGATCTCTGTATTGAACGCTTTAATCCAACAAATCGTCGAACTAATGTTGCCTTGAAGCCAGCTTGATCAAGAAATGTGCACAGGGTGGCATGAACAAAGGTGTTAAGGCTGAAAAGATATTACAGCCGACCGATTTTTCATTATAAATATCACATTCATCTGTAAAGACCGCACCAGCTTTCACCTGATGCAATCTGGTGTAACATGAGATGTCTTATCTAATTTGTGTATTTGATGTCACACCTGGTGGTATCATATTGTTGTAACCTAAGGATTAAAGGCAAACCGGGCACAGTGAATTATCTTGCTTGGTCGCCGTTCACTTCCAGTTCTGCACGAATCCGGCCAATACACACCCGCCAAAGAAATGTCACCCAATGAAACCTCATACACCCTAACCCTTTCTCATAGCTCGCCTAACAGATGTCAGGCTATTATCAGCGCGCAGCATCGTGGGATGGTCGCACTGCTCTATACTGGCTGTGTTCTTGTGGGTCTGCTTTCAAGCATGCTCTAGCTTCCAGTTTGTACTCTGAAGCCTGGGATAATGTTGTGTCGTTCAGTTTTTAATGCAGCTGTGGTATTAGCCTCACGATCAAGACCGAGCTAAGCATACGGAATGGTAGCTCTGTAAGCGGTAGAGGACGCGGTGTTCAAGGTCCATCCGAAAAGTCCATCTTTGAATTCTGCGGATAGTATGGATCATTTTTATCCATACTCAAGCGGCTCAGCATTTTCTCAGTCCTAGTAGCTACGCCAAGTGAACGTTACCATTTACTGGTAGGCTTTAGACGTGCACTGAAAAACTGCCCACACAAGTAACAGGTTGGACGAAACCCGTCATCCGGAGGATACTGAATGGGTTAACATAACGAGTCGCCTGGGTAGAACATTGTTAATAAACTTGATCGATTTTTACCAGGAGAAAAAAAAGTGACGATGCCGTTATCTCCAAGTTGGTTCTACTGCGCAAATTCCATCGCCTACCTGCTGAATAGGCACAAGTTTGTCCACGGTCATCAGAATGTTTTTATTTGATTAAATAAAACTGAGCCAGCTCCTAGGCATGTAAAGCCGAATTCAAACAGTATGGGGAGAGCCGGTTCAAAATCACGACATTTTTGTCACCGTCTCTAAAGTCTGTCTGCAGGAGTCGCTGACTATGGTGTCTTTACTCCTCCCTGTTGGCTACCGACGCAAGTTTCCGCATAATCCCGGTGTTGTATCACTTCACTTCATTTTCATCAGTGTTCTGTTTCTACGCCATCGCAGACAATCTAGTGTTTATTTTTTTATTGTTGAACTTGGTTGCACCGTCTTGTTTCAGAAGTCGAAGTCCCTTGGAATCCGGAGGTCGTTCGCGTGGCCGTAGTTCATCCATAACATACGACGGTAGGAGTCGAGATAGGCGTTTTGACCCACAGGGCCGTTCGTTCAATGATGTTCCGCGTTCGCGTGGCCAACGAGACGTAAGAAATGGGTATCCGTCACCACCTGTCGACGGAAGACGCGATGCACCTCGTGTGCGTGGTGGACTCGACGATCGTAGGAGGCGCTAGTTTTTGTCTCGAAACTATTGAATGCATTTCACATGTTGTACAATTGTCGGTTTACAGCTCGAACATGTCTTATCCACATAACTGCCTTTTGATTCAAAGGTAGCACAACAATGTTTCCTGCACCCTGATCTTAATGGTGTCACTAGACTGCACCGATGGCAGCTTTTTTCGCAGTTGTGCACTTCACCTGTTACGGGAGCATAGCAGTAGGCCTCTTCACTCCTTATATGACTCAGCACATTTTCAGGATTGAATTTTTTTCGCGCTATAGAAAAACCAAAATTTCATGTTGATAGTACTGTCAGAGTTGATTGTAAAGCTCATGGCTTCTGCATGAGAGTCGATTTGGCTTCACGCCAGCGCAGTGTACATTGAGCTGTTTCAGTGGCGGTAGACCTCACCAACCACACCTTAACTCATTGCAATCTCTTCCACACTCGTCTGTCGAGTCGTACGTTGTCCATCTTACGGTTTATATCCTAGAGGCACAGAAAACAACACTCGTCTCGGTAGATGATGTTTCCGCATGCGTAGTACAGGGCCCAGTCACCGCATTGGACGGTGCTAGATGTTTTCTGCGACGGAAGTACCTGCTGCGTAACCAAATGTCCGTTTTCTGATTACCTCGCTACGAATCCATTGACGTCGTCCGACACCGCTAATGCAAAGACATCGGTGGTCGAAAACCTAAAAACGCCTCACATGATCTGTTTGCGGACGCCATGTCTCGCGTTCACACAACCATACAGTCCCTAGTGTAGTCAGGTACGCGCGGCCTCTGGGGTTCACCGACATATTTTTCGTAAGCCACAAATGACTCGAATTGGAAGACGTGATTCGGGCCCTTTAGATTCGTGAACTGATTTCATCAAACATTTCCTTCAAAGCTAATGCAACTATCGAGGTGTGTGAAGTTCTTCACAAATTCCAGTGCTTCTTGAATTGCAAGGACGTGTTCGGAAGCTGCATATTCTGGAGTGCATGGCGAGTTGGGGGTTGGTTTTGGTCAGTTTATTCAACAGGGCTTGTGCTTCGTCTTCAAAGACGAGGACAATGTCGGCGTACTCCATTTCGACAGGGTTCTCACTAGCAATGATTCGAACACCGGGGTTCTGAAGGACTTCCAGCACTCGCCTCAATTCGTCGACGGTGAAGTTGAACGAGAATGGGAAGTGGTCGTCCGTGTCAGACCACTTCGTAGGGAAGCTTCTAGGTGGCCTGTTGGTTACCATCCCCTCAACGTTTATCCTCAGCCATTTTACCAGTTTGATAAACCTTGACGGGATGGTAACCAACAAGCTCGCGGACGCTATCCGGTTTACACTTGTCTATTCTATCCAGCACAAGCTACGTCGGTGTAGGAGGGTGCCGCCTGTGTCCGGTCATTACTATTGAGGGTGTTTACGATACTCAGTTTAGCAGCTCGTATTAGTAAGCGGATAACATGAGCTTGTATCAGCGGGCTCCGTGCTTATAATCCCTATCCGGATTAAACCCTGGCCGTGCGAGTAATGCTGGATATTTTCGGATGCCCCAAGTGGATTGAATAACCTGTTATTGAGGAACACTTGAGGGATCCTAGCGTGGCTAGATTGGAAATCCGTTATTTTCTCAAGGTTTGCTGGGCGTTTTTAGGCTGGTGCATGCTCCATCCTGAGGAACTCTGCCTTACCCGTCTCGTTATTCCAGAGATGGCTCGGTGTTAAGAACTCAGCGTTGACCGGATGGTCTCTGTTTCGTGCCCAGACCCAGCTTCTTGTCTAGGCTTAGACAACCTGACAGTGTTTTAGCCCTCGGGTCTACTTCGGATGGTGCGGCAGCATTACTGAGGGTTCACTCTCTAACGTCTACTGAATCAAGAATATGGTCGGATTCGAAGTGGTTCATACCATGTCTTCAGCGAGACCCGAAAACTTCTGAATGAAGCTGGCACAACCTGGATGTTGAACTAGAGGTTGGATGGACCCAAATTTAGGAAACGCTAGTCTAGCACTTGGGCCATAGTGTGACCAGTTTTCACTTCAGCAATTGGAATACAGTCTAACCCAAAGTTAGTTATCCAACCACATCTAGGGTAGTTTAGGTCATCCATAAATGCTCCTGGATGCACAGTACCTTGCTGTGTTCGAAGGTCGTTTGTAGGAATGGATCCTAGATCGCATGGTGGTTTGCAGACCCCACAAGCAAATATTGGTGCGCCCCTCATTGATGCAGCTACGCTCAGTCGGCTAAAACTATTTCACCACTGTACGGACGGCTGTACTCTAGAACAATGCATCGCTTCTACCGTGGACCTTGTGTCTAAGCTGACAGATGATCCAGTCGTAGTTTCATTTTGACGAACACTGTTGAGCTGAACAATCTTCCCTCTGCTTCGGCCTTCACTTAAATCGCGTTAGAATGGCCGGAGTCTGTATAGGGTGGTTAATGGCATCCTATTAGTTTCATAGTGGACATGTTTGAAATTATCCGAACACAGTACTGCTCTTCGACGCGCTTCAGTCGTCTTCACTGAAAACGACTGGCGTTCGCCAACGACTGTCGCGGTACGGCAGTCTGCATTTGTGGACGACATCTTCAGTCGTGGGGCTATTAAAACTGGCCCTGTCCCACCAAGTAATGGGGCTTCGTGGAATGCACATGCGGTGCCGTCAACATATGCTACCTTGGGGCTAGATTGCAACGCGTCAGAGCACGGTAGGTACGACCTCCGAATTGTTGAAATGCAAATAAGACGATATCCTTATTTGGCACAAAGCCAAAATATGGACTTATGTTAGCGCTCAAAGTATTGTTCACCGTTCACCCACCTTTACTCGGTGGGTTCGTATTTAGCCCAAAAGTCTGCAAGGTCATCTGCGCAAACTTGAGAATTGAATGGTGGCTCTGGTCATCTAACCGGTGCTTGAATCTCTGAGTTTGTCAATATTTTGTGAACGATTCACATTCAACTTACTGCGCCGGCTTGTGTCGTAGTGGTGTGAGCTGCCGCTCGGACCAATTTAACCACCACACTTGTCGTTCTTCGTAGATTTGTGGTTTGTAGTAGCACCAGTAGACGAGATCACGACGGTGAGTTGCACCACGAGTTGTTGCACAATCAATGCTTACTGAAGGGCTGATGGACACGATTGGTGTCGCACGAAAAGCGATCAGAACCGTTCTGCCTCTGAATTAAACATCTACATCGCTTGTGCCCTTTTGGAGTTACGGCTGGGGGAAAGAGCATTTCCTCACTAAACCGCTTATAGTTGGTCGTTCCACAAAATTTCGTCAAAAAGTCGGCGAGGTAATCAACCGAGAGTAGAGCTACTCGTTTCTTCACTTCGCAAGTCACACGTGTTAAGAGATCAAATACCATCTTGGTCCTGTCTTAGATATGTCCTAAGAACAACCTGGCTACATTCTCAAGTGAAGGTGCCTCGCCTGAAAGCCAACTCCCGCGTACAGTTTACGGGTCCCATAGTAGGCTCGGCTACATGCTACGTCGACAGAACTGACGCCCTGCAGAACGCCCTCGTTATCATCGAGAGCATGACATCGATGCCGTACAATCATGATTTAATTGAAATCCTTATTGTGAAAAAATAATAAAGGTGGACGGGGAATGGGCTCAGTGCTAGCTTACTACAATCATTCCGAGGTACTTACAGCTTCAGGCACTTCCTTCAGGCAATCCGGATAGAAAGTGACATCAGTTGGCAGCCATATTTTGTAGTGTCTCCAACCACGCGCATTGGGAATCACGCGGTCCCCACCCTGGAAAGTGAGTAGTACTGACGTGACCCAAACGTTTCGTAATCTCCTTCATACCCTTCTACCAGGACAAGGGTAGAAGTACAAAGTTTTAAGAGACATTGACCATTATACTTGGTTTCGTACTTAACATACTACCTGGATATCCTGATAAAGTGCAGCGTCCTACTTGTGCAATAAAATGTTCTAAGTTGGCCGTATCCGAGCTCTTCGTGGTGGACGAGAGGGTGGTCCGTTCTCGACAAAAGTGTCTTGGTGATTCGGAGCTACGTTTCTTGCATACATAAATGTGCACGACAGACGACCGTTCAGTTTTTCGGCCAGTGCAAGTTTTTATTGAAGTGGAAAACCGGACAGGACATGCGTTGTTTGAAGGCGCCCAGTTGAACAATGAAGCCTCGGCTTGGGAGCTTAAGGTAATGCTAACACCGGTACGGCCTGCTTTAGCAGCAGCTACAGGGTCGCTCGAATTTCGTGGTGTGTGGTTTCTAGATAGAGGGGGTACCGTAAGCACAGCTACTGTTGGGATCCTGCATCCTAATTTCAAATATCAACTAACAGAGTCCCTAGAATTTGCGCAAGAGCAACTGTTGGCCGATCTGCTTAAGAGTCCTCATGTTAACGACTGCGATGCAAACAGGGACATGACGCCTAAATAGCGAACTTGTATTTCGAGATATGAATAGCGGCGTAAGATGTGTCGATTTTATGGGTTCCTGACTGACATATCTACAGCCGGGATGTACATAAGAGTGATTGTCAAGTTGTGAGTTAATACATTGAAGAAAGATGGGCGGCGTCGGAGTTTTTGTAAGCTGCCCTACTTTATGCAGCAAATAAGACACTTACTGATGTCACCATCCCACGGCCGATGTGACATGAAAATAGATCTATCTGTAAAGCTTTTCCGCGTAGTTGTCTCGCAACAAAGAACCAGTATTCACCATTTATGTATCCCTGTCATTGAAGTGGTCCTTCCCAGTAATCGGTGGGCGATCGCTGGATGGGATTGAAGGGAGGGTGCGCAGAACCCAGTCGTCAGGAGAATAGTATTCTACCCTTGTTTGGCAATTCAAACACCTTTCGTTATCTGCGTGTTACCACCGCGCTACACTTTTATTTGCGTGCACAGACGAATGTGCATCTTGAGTGTGAAATTCGGAGGTTATACATGAACTCTGGTTGTACCTGCTGGATAATTGTAAAACACTTCCCCCAACTACAGTTAATCGCTAATTTCCTGTCCGGTGGTTTGGAAACGTGGCCTCCTAAGAGACTGTGCGTATCAGTTTTCGGCTTTCTGTCATTACTACAATCACCAGGGGGTTGCTATCCTGTTCACTTATATGTATGCAAACTTACAGTCAGAATGGGCCGATATCCGGTGGTTAGTGACATGATCATGTATGGAGGCTAGCCGTTCCTAATAACCGAACATCACATCATTTGGATGGATGTGTCACGTGCAGGACACGGGCCAAACGAAGGCATGCCCTGCTTGGTCAGAATGCCAGCCGATCCGAGTCAAGCACCTGTGACTCGACGCTTCTCGCCCCCCTCACGGAGATTCTAGCACGACCTTGTGGAACACTCTGTGACTACCCTATAAATACAGTTGTAATAATTTTCCTTTGTCTCCATAAAGGGCTGTGTAGAGCTGCCGTGCCTTTTGATGTACCACGGTGGGGGGAGCAAGAAGCCAAGGGACCGATACAGAGCTGCACTACCGAACAACAAGCTACAACAGATCGTGAGTCCCGAAAGCCTTGTTCGTACCGAAATGTAGTTAGCAGATGTCCTTTTAGCGACTCACCGAATTTTGGAGACGCCTTGTGCTAAGGCAATATGCCACACCCAACGACGAGGCTATTCGTTAGTTGATTGACTCTCTCTTGAAATCAACACTCCGCTTTAGCTGCAGTATGGTTCAAAGTAACTACCGTATCTTCGCTTACATGCACAAGTTAGACGTGTACTCGACGGCTACCCCCGACTTGGTGGATGTGCATCAAGCAGATAGACTCATGTCACCACAACCGTGTCATGGTTGGTCTCCGGGATTCGCGAGGGATACTTTAGTGAGTGTTGTCCATTCGGCTCGCATGTAGAAATCAAAAGTTCGAAACCAATGCCGATTCATCCACCATCAACAATAGCATGTAGAAGTAGACCAGAACGGTTCATGGCTCGAGCTTTTGCACCATCTGGAGTCCCAAAATCAAAGTGTTTGCAGTGATATCAGCTAGCAAACCCAGCCTTGTTTCCACCCCCACACGTCAGTGACAAAGTAAAACACATTACGTTCCTTATTCGTTTCTGACTTTTTAACACCGGTGAATTCTCTCCAGACCATTTATCCAGGTTAGATTATTTCCATCCTTTCCCGTTTGTTTTCCAGGCGTCAGTAGGGCCACCTTCTACCGAGATGATCGGTGACCTATCGATCAAGGATAATACGGATACCGGTCAAAATGGACTAAACCGACCACCTACCACACCAGATGGGAAGATTTGGCCATCTAACGTCCGAATTCACTCAGAAGGCTACTTCTGTGTTAAAGTTAGTCTGTCTGTTTTTGAACGCCTCGTACAGCAGTACAGCATGGTTCCAGCTGTTTCGCTCTTACTTTTACTGTCATTCATCAGCATCGGCTGATGAGGACGGAATCAGTGCATAGATTTGCCCACTCATGAGGCTCACACGGCGATTGTACTCAGTAGACAATAAAATCAATGGGTTTCCACTTTTGCTGGTTCATTTCAGGCCCGGGAAACCAAAACGAATCTCTCGTTCCATTCCAAAAGCAAAACGTACCAGCCAAGGGTTGGCATCACGGGTCACACGAGAAACTATATGCTTGTTCGGGGCTGCCATAGTTTTAATCCCTAAGGACTTGAAAATTGGGGAACACGATAACTCTGCATTGGTGTCATTATCTAGAGATGACGTATTTGTATTTTCCTTGTACGTATTTTCCTTGAACGTTAATTGCAGCATGCTATGTAGATTCTTCTCTTGGCGAGCACTTGTGCATGACATGCGGCAAGAAGGGTGATGCTTTTCTCTTTCATCTTGCTGTTTATTTAGAACGGGAATCCAGGTGGAAACATGGAGTAAATACGCACAGGAAGATAACAGACCATCTGTTTTTGACGGGACTACTCAGGTGACTGCTGAAAACTCTTCGACACCCTAAGACCGGCTTCACCGTTCTTCGGGCTCATCAGATGGGCGCAGTCTCTGAGTTTCCATCAACCCAAATTTCACGAAATTTGACAAATACACCCATTCGCATATCATTTTGGTTTTAACGGAAGGCACGACTGAATCCCAGCTGAACCCATCGTTTATGATATTTAAGTAGAATATAAGGCTGATATAAACTCTAGGACTGCACCTACTTGATGAGCAACAAGAAGGGTAAAACTGGTCGTGGGCTATTAATAGGTTTTCAGCAACCTTGTGAAAAGTTTCTTTTATGAAAATATACTGCAATATCTCGAATATCGTACCAACTGAAGCATGAGGCGGCCTTTGTCCAGCACATTCAGTTGAAGAATATCATAAACAAGAGATTTAGTTGCGTCTCCCGTGGAAGCGAAAATGATATGCAAATGTGTTCTTGTCAAAATCTGTCCAATTTTGATACAACTGTTTACTCACAAAAACAAGGTCTTGCAATAAAATCTTCAATATCACCAATACTTCGAACAAATGGTCTTGTTTGGATATCATTGTTCACCGAAAGTTTTTTCGGCGTTATGTTGATGATACCTTTGTTGTAATCAAACGTAATTACGTGAACGGCAACCACAACTATCTCAGTAGTTTAGATCCTCACATCAAGTTTAGCATAGAGATAGAGTCCGCCTCGGGCACATTATCCTTCCTGGAATGTAGCACATGAGAGTGGTAAAAAAAATTTAAAACTACTATCTACCAGAAACCAACAGACAGACACCGTCTTAAACTACTCAGCAGCATACCCAAAGCCCGTGTACGCCAGTATTGTGCCATCGATTTTCGGTCAAGTCAGAGCGTTATGCACAGAAGAGATCGACCGAACAGCAGCTCATATCGAAATTGCCAACAGACTTCAAGAAATAGGATAACGGGTGAGTTTGATTAGGCGTCAGTTAAGAAAGATATTAGCTCTGCTATCTAGACCCAGTGAGGCATGGAATGGCACAGCAGTCATTCCATATAGAGCAGGAACATTGGAAGTTATTCGAAGACTGCTGAACTGAGTCAACATTCGAGTAACTTTCCGGAAGAGAAAAACGCTACTTTCACTTTTGGTGCAATTGAAATATCCTTTACCTGTCGAAAGGCTTAAGGACTGTGTGTAATAAGTAAACTGCAACGATTGCATAACTATCGTAGCACTAGACGAACGAAAAGTGCCAACGACGTTCAAGAGGAATCATCACGTGAACTGAACCGGAAGAGCTAGACTCTAAAAGTTGGGCCCATATCTATGTAGGTTTCCCCATCGGCTCAACACTTGTTGACCCACCCTGGCTGGAACCTAACACATATCTAGCTTGACTTATCTGATTGGTTTTCCTTCCGCCTTAAATCTCGACCCACCTCGTAACCTAGTCACTTGACCTAAGGAAGCTTTTGTGTCAAGAACGACACTTTGCCCAGCAGTAAGTCTATCGATTGTTATCAAACTTCGAAAACGATGACTACTCGATCGGTTCTAAGCGTTTTTGAACTTATTATCCAATTTGGGTTGACGAAAACTTTCAAACTTCGAAACGATGACTACTCGATCGGTTCTAAGCGTTTTTGAACTTATTATCCAATTTGGGTTGACGAAAACTTGGGGACTTCACCTACCTACTGAGCCCCAAGAAGAACAAAACCGATCGTGGGCTGTGGACGAGTTTTTAGCAACGTCGTGAGTAGCTTTCTTTATAAAAATATGATGCGATATGTTGAACATCGTACCAGCTGAAACCTGAGGCCTCCTGATTTAGCACATTCAATTAAAGAAGGACATCACAAACGAGAGAATCAGTGGGGATTCGGTATAGTCTCCGTTAAACTCAACTTTAATCCTCAAATTGATGTTTCTCGTCAGTGTGTTCTGTTATACAATCAGCCAGGCAATTTCTATCTCACGTACTGGGCAAAGTGTCCCGTAACCTTCGGAAGGCCGAAGTAAAAAGTTGATGCGTTCTTACACGGTAGATGGTAATTATGGACCCATGCGATTAGCTTATTTAATTAATTAATCAGCCTCGCTTTATTTTTATTGGTACGAGGAAGGTGAGGTAGGATAACCTGACTGTAAAATCTGGTAAACATGCGAAATTTTCCGCGTTTTTTTGAGAATCCTAAAATCCAAGTTCCTTCTGAAGAACCTGATTCCTTGCGATTTGTTTCGTCAACTTTCAGTTCCCCAAAAATTCCATGTAGTCGAAATCATGGTCTCGGTATCTTTCTCCCTATCTTCTGTCAGTCTTCGTAAATCATTGTTTTGGGTACCCATGTATCAGTTTCCCATAAGTTCGTGGAAAAGCGTTGTTTCCGTTGTTGCCATGGCGATCGCGTCCGTTCAGGCCTGCCTAACCTGGCTGACGCCACTGATCTACCATATAAAGTTACACTGATAATCTACGCTTAGCTGGTTAAGCAGTTTTGACAGGAGTCTCATAGGCTATTGAGTATTAAACCCCACGTGACCTGTTGATCCCCAGAAAATGAAATCTCACTCCGATTGTCGTGGTTGTTGACCGATTTTCCTCGTGAATACAAACGAACGATCTGCCTGCTGGACACTTAGTGTGAGGAAGGATAATTTTTATCTGCACATCCCGTTTATTCTTTATTTTCTAGTTCGACCGAGAACGTGTTCAGTCACTTGTTCGGCAGCACTGCGTTCAGCAAAGTGATGGAAATCTTCTGGGTGTTTGGATATTGACCCGGTAAGAAAATCTGTCTATTTTTGGGGCGAAAACGGGTCCTCCCCAAGTTGGATCGGATGTTCCGTTTTGTTTCATTTTTAGCAGCTTCGGGTGTGGTTCTTTGAATAAGGTGCGAACCTGCAACCCAACAACTGTTTCTCGATTTCTCCCACCTAGGCTTGGGCAACCTCACAGTATCTCAGCCCCCGTGCTTCCTTCGGTTAGCATTGCAGCAAGACACCGGAAGTGTGTTACTGCTAAACGATTGTATTTTGTTGATTCGTTTACAGTTTCCACATGGTTTTCACATCCAGAAGTGCTTCAAAAACACTATCTTTAACTTAAAAAAATGATTGAAAAGAAAAAATACTTCCTGTGTGAACTCGGTAAAGTTTTTGTTACGATAAGATGCGGGCAGCTGCACGATGTCCTTCTTTATTCTTAAACCGGTCAAGTAAGTTGAATGATGCATGCAGTTTCTTTTCGAATCGAACGTTATTTTGAGAATCTGAGGAGAGATTGCTAGCAATAGTAACTCCTTGATTTCATCATAGGGCTATAGAATACGTTAGTCTGAAAGTTCTGTGATATGACTGTCTCACATCAACGACTGATGGAAATTGGGACCGATTGCACGGAATCCTGTCATCACACTTTTCTGGTCACTTGATCCGGGCTCGTTTTTGAGACCCTAGTGGTACGCCTCGGTACCTCACAAGCATTATATCGAATGCTGAAGATTGCTGAAGACTGCCAAACTCATCGACAGCTGCATAAAGCGCGTAATTGCTGTACAGTTGTTCTAGCTACCAGAGTTTCGTTTATCGATGATTTGGAGAGGTGTGGGTTAGGCAGCTGCGCATTTGAGTAGGTAGTTGATATAATTGGTAGTGAATACAGGGTTTTTAATGAACTTTTCATTGGGACTATTGGGAAGGGAACCATACATTGAAGGCAATAGCTTGGATGCGCGAGGGCTATTGAGGACGCAAATGGACCATGTCTGACCGTCTCTAACTGGTCATTTGTACTGCCTCGCTCGCCCCATCCAGGGAGATAATAATGACTAGCGCGGCTGAGTTTCCTGTTAATGGCTTTCACACTTCGTTGCCAAGTCATTGTTTATCCTCCACTGGCTCGTTTTCACCCTTCACGTGGTTGTGCCCCTCGAAGGAATCGGCTGACTGGTATGCGGAGCACGTGGCCAAGCCAGCGCAACCAAGCAATGTGGTTAGTTCATGTATTGTGGGTAATTTATTTCTCCCACAAACTATTCGACGGATTTCAGCATTGCTGAATCTGGTGTCTCTACCAGGCTCGAACAATGCTCCGAAGACGTCAATGGACAAACAATGAAATTCTTTTGACGTCTACGCTGCACATCGGTCAGGTTTCTGACCCGTATAATAATATGGACCGCACTGCAGCACTGTGAACTCGAACCTTGACGGATAAGCTGATGTTGCGCCGACCCCATCTGTGACACAGGCTCACCAAAGCTGCTTTGGCCTTCCGAATCCGGATGAAAATATCATATTTCGCACGACCATCGGGACTGATACAGCTACCCATGTTATGGTGGACACTACTGATGATACATTTGTGTAATATGATTTATCGTAACTCCGTTTTGTGTCATTGGAAAGTAGGATCTATTACGGAATTTGTGGAATTGCTTTGTGGCATTCGTTTACATTTGAGTGATAGTCAATGAATATCCAGGAATTTTCAGGAAGGCGCGTTCAAGAAGAATACGGATATTCAGTTTTTATAAACAACATGCGTATGAGAGTTTTGCTTTCCTGCCCAATAGTCTGTGACTGTTCAGTTGGTGTTTCCTGATAAATAACTCGGCATCGAACGCCTTCTTCCTTTCGCCAGGATGAGGATGAAGATCCCATGGCCACAACCCTTTGAGGATGGGGATGTTCGGAATTGGCAGAGGTGCCAGTGGTCACGTTGTAGTCGCAGGAGAACACGGAGGATACAACAGTAGAGGACCTGGAGAACAAAGTGGACCACCTCTCCGAGCAGCTTGCAGCCGTCAAGACGGAATCGCGGGGGCACGCTCGAACGAGCCTGATCATTGGAAGAATCAATGCTCTTGTACGTGACCACTTGTACATAATGAAAATTTGGATTCCTCTTTTCCGTGGTGGGTTGTGACAGGCTACCATACAGGCCGTTATCGAGATAGACGGGAAGAGGGAGCTGTGCTCGTCTGATACAGGGGCAGGGGTATCGCTGATGCGGAGAGAGAACCAAGTTGAATGCAAACCGTGCGCGCTAGCCGTGAGAGCAGTGAGTGGATACCGACTGGAAATTGGCGTATTGTCAATACACTGAATGCGCCCAGGCGACAAGTTCGTACAACACGCGTTCCTGATCAGCCCAGACATAGAGCAGAAAATATTGGGAGCAAATTTTTTTAAGAGCGCAGATTCCGTTGTTGCCCTAAGGCAGGTACAACTGTTGACGAAGTATGGCACAGTCAAGCTTGAAGGTTACCTAAGCACTGCCGTGGGCGAGCTGAATATGTGAAAGCTTCCGTCTTGTGATGTGTCCTCTGTACAGTCCATGGTCAAGGAATACCCCTAACTGTTCACAGGCTTCTGTTCGTGGATTGAACACGAAGTTTCCCTCGTCTCGGATGGCCTTACGGGATCCCTCCGCTACGGGAGGAGGTCCATAAACAAATTCGAGATTTTTGAAAAATAGCATAATCGAGGAAGCCAACACTGAGTACAACTCCCCGATTGTGCATGTATAGAAGGTGAACGGGAAAAACCGGTTTTGCCTGGATTTCCGGTGTTTGAATGAACTGACCGTAAATCCGGTTGTAGCTGTTCCTTTCGGTTGCGGAGATTTTTGATTCCCTCCAGCATTCCCGATATTTCACTGTGTTCGACTTGCGTTCCGGATACTGGCAAATACCTATCAAGTCGAAGGATCGGGAGAAAATGGCGTTTACGGTTAGGGACACCCAATATCAATTTAGACGAATGCCGTTTAGTTTGTCTGGAGCGCCATTCACATTCCGGCGCTTGATGCTTCGTTTAACGAAGGAACTCCCGAATGATGCCTTGTCCGGAGACGATATCTTTGTGTACAGCAACTCAAAACTAGAGCATGCAGTTCGCTTGAAGGCCGTGGTGAAGCGGATCCTGGAGGCCGGTCTGCGGATAAGTGAAGCTAGGACGCAGCTCGATCGGAACTCGGTGACACTGCTGGGGCACAAAGCGGGTCACGGAGAGGTTAGCCGTCTGTCAGAAAAACTCGCAAGGATCGAGGAGCGTGCCGTCCCCAATTCAGATCGGTCCCTGCAGCAGTCTCTTGGACGAGCAGCATACTGCAGCAGGCTTGTTAGGGATTTCAACACGTTTGTTGCTCCACTGTTCGGCTTGCTTGGGAAAACTCGGGAATTCGAATGGACAAGGGAAGGTTATGAAGTTTTCGAACATGTCAAAGCGCGGATGCTGGATCAGCAACTGACTCTCAAACTGCCCAGGACAGCGGAGATGTTCACCGTGACCGCGGTATCGGCGCAGTCCTTAAGCAGAGGAATGGAGTCATCGAATATGTCATTTGTGTCCTGACTAACGCTAAGTAGAAGTACTCAGCTATTGAGAAAGAATGTTTAGCGATCGTTTGGGCACTGGATAAGTGGAGCCGTATCTGCTGGGACAAAGATTTCATGTCAAAACCGATCACAATCCCCAGGTGTGGATCCGGACCACCAGAGATCTTCGCGGAAAGCTCGCGCGCCGGGCGCTCCGGCTGTAAGATTACCACTACGATCCAGCACGTGCCAAGGAAGGAGAACCACTTGGCTGATTGGCGGTCAAGACCAGAGGCTGAATGTTAGTGCCAATAGCCTCGTCGTCGAACTGGATCCCGGAAGGTTAGTGCAACTCCAACGGCGGGATCCTGTGTTACGGAAGGTTGCAGCCGCCTTGTTGGATAGAAAGAGTATTGAGAACGGAGAGGGAGACAAGGAATTGGAAACGTTCCAGTGTCACTTTGATCGGCTGAGTTTGAACGAAGCGGACGTAGTTTCCAGGAACGCAATCATTTTGGATGTTGCGCTGTCCGTGATACCTCGCGTCTTGAGACGGTAGCTTATCGTCGACTGCTTCGAGATGGTACACACATGGTACATCAGGAGGTACGACTTACGGGATTACTGGTCCGGGATGAGAAGTGAGGTGATGGATTATGTGGTGTCCTGTAAGCGGTGCCAACTGATGAAAGGGGATATGACAGGGGTAACCCATCCCATCGAACCCATTTGTCTCAGAAATCGACGAGTTATGTTCCGTTGGCGTCATGGGCCTCTTTCCGTTGACGACCAGCGGAAATCAATATATCGTGATAATGACAAAACACCCGTCGCGGTGGGTCGAGGCAGCAGCCGTGCCAACTCAACGGGCGGCGACGATAAGCAGAGTGGTAATGTCATCATCATCATCAACGACAGCATGCAGCAGCCGAACTCAACGGGCGGCGACGATAAGCAGAGTGGTAATGTCATCATCATCATCAACGACAGCATAACATCAGTGCTCAACACACACCCTTCACTGCCGTACAGCCATGACTTATTTGAAAGCCTTATTGTAAAGAAAAGAATAAAGGTGGATGGGGGAGGGACTTAGTGCTAGCTTAACACAATCATTCCGAGGTGCCTACACCTCCAGACATTCACTCAGGCAATCTGGACAGAAACTGACAACAAGAACGCCACTGACATCGGTTGGCAGCCATATCTTGTAGTGTCTCCAACCAGGCACAGTGAGGATCACGCGGTCCCCATCCTGGAAGGCGAGTAGCACCGACAGCACCCAAGCGTTTCGTGATCTCCTTCATACTCTTCTGCCAGGTCATGGGTTGGCCACCCCTCTGTTTACGCCACTCCGAATTAGGCATGGAAAACAGTACTCTCTTCGGCAAACGATGGTTCGGCATGCGTAAAACATGTCCCAACCAACGCAGCTTCTGGTGCTGGACACATTC